GTACAACATTGGTGGCGAATGGCAAAAGGAGTATTGGTTAAAGAAAATAAACCCTTGACTTGGGAAGTATTCTAGAGGCATTTAATGAAAAGTATTTCTCAGATTTTATTCGAGGCCAAAAAAAATGGAATTTCTAGAATTAATCCAAAGAAACCGGACAGTAGCACAGTACGAGGCCAAGTTTACTGAATTGGCCAGGTTTGCACCACATATGATTAACAATGAGGCCAGAAAGGTGAAAACATTTGAAAGGGGTCTCAGAACAGCTATTAGAAGCAGAATATCAGTCTTCAAATTGAGAACTTATGCTGAAATAGTGGATCGAGCCCAAATTGTCGAAAAAGATTACGAAGATTACCAAAAGATGAAAAATCAAAAAAGTCAGGTTAGACCATCAGCATCTAATCAACAACAGTTTGAAAGGGTAAATAAGAAGCCAAGGCTCTTGCCATTTCAAAGCCCAATAGAACCATGTAAAAAATATGGGAAAAAGCATGGATCGAGCCCTTGTTATTAGAATACTAGAGCCTGTTCTAAATGTGGAAAATTGGGGCACCGGATTAGAGAATGTCCTAACTGACAAATGCAACAGCTTCCAAAGCAGGGAGAGATAGCTCAAAAGCCTCAGATGAAGGGAAGAGTATTTGCGATCACCCAGCAAGACGCTTAGGCCCCAAAATCAGTGATCCAAGGTACTCTTATTATCTTCTAAAAAATAGTTCATGTTTTGATTGATCCTTGATCTACTCATTCATTTGTGTCACCACACTTTGCATGCCACTTAAAAATAGAACCAGAACAATTAAAATACATTCTAGAGGTAGCCACACCGATGGGAAATTCAATTGCCACCAATATAGTGTACAAATCCTGTGTAATAAAGATAAAAGAAAATGAACTGTTGGTTGATTTAATACTCCTAAAAATTCAAGATTTTGATGTAATCTTAGGCATAGATTGGCTTTCTGCATACCATGCAAGTATTGATTGTTACAAGAAAATGGTTACCTTTAGTATTCCGAATCAACCAGTATTTTACTTCAACGGTATCAAAGAAGACTCCCCATCATATTTAATCTCCTGTATTTGAGCTAATCGCCTCTTTCGAAAAGGGTCTCAAGGCTTACTTGCCTATATCAAAGAAGATTGGAAGGAAGAGATAAATTTGGATACCACTCCGGTTATCCGAGAATTCCCGACGTTTTCCCAGAAGAATTGCCTGGATTACCGCCTGACAGGGAAATTGAATTCTCTATTGCATTATTACTAGGGGTAGCCCCAATTTCTAAGGTACCTTACAGAATGGCACCTGCAGAACTTAAAGAACCTAAACAACAATTGAAAGAATTATTAGATAAAGGTTTTATCAGGCCCAGTATGTCACCTTGGGGTACTCCGGTATTGTTTGTTAAAAAGAAAGATGGGACCATGAGATTGTGTATCGATTATAGACAGTTGAACCAAGTGACAGTGAAAAATAAGTATCCATTACCTAGAATTTATGATTTATTTGATCAATTACAAGGATCACAAGTGTTTTCAAAAATTGATCTTAGGTCTGGATACCATCATCTTAAAATTAAAAGTGAAGATGTTTCCAAGACCGCTTTCAGAACAAGGTATGGCCATTATGAATTTTTAGTCATGCCTATTGAATTAACCAATGCACCGGCTGCATTTATGGATTTGATGAATCGAATCTTTAAACCCATTTTAGATGAATTTATTGTGGTATTCATCGATAATATTTTAATTTATTCCAAGAATCAGAAGGAACATGAGAAGCATATAAGAATGGTATTGCAAATATTAAGAGAAAAGAAATTGTATGTCAAACTTAGTAAGTACGAATTTTGGCTTGAACAAGTGACATTTTTAGGACATGTCATATCAAAGGAAAGTCTATCAGTCGATCCTTCAAAGGTTGAAGCCGTTGTTAATTAGAAACAACCAAGTAATGTGACTGAAGTTCGAAGCTTTTTGGTATTGACAGGATATTACATACAGTTGTAGAAGGATTTTCTCGAATCGCAACCCCATTG